GGAGAGGGGAGAGGGAGAGGGAGAGGGAGAGGGAGAGGGAGAGGGAGAGGGAGAGGGAGTGGGAGAGGGGAGGGAGAGGGAGAGGGAGAGAGGGAGAGGGCGGGAGATGAGGGGGATGGACAGGGAGCAGGACAGGGACCGGGACAGGGAGAGGGACACAGGGAGACAGGGACAGGGAGATGGACGGGGAGAGGGTGATGAGGGAGGTGATGAGGCAGTAATGAGGATGAAGGTGACGGCAAATGTGAAGGTGAGAGCATGAGGCCGCCTGAGTCATAGACCAAAAACAGACCACAGTCAGAACTTGACATGGCATTTTAGTTTTCCTCAGTCTGGGTCGCCAGGGTGGGCATGCAAACGAGGAGCAGGCCGAACGAAATCAGATATTAAAACTACTGGTCAGCCGCCACTTATTCAGGCCGCTGACATCCGAACCCAGAGATTTGCTTGTTAAAACCATTATAGTGCCTACATGGCGCATCATGGCGCCACTTAGGTGAGCGTTTGACTTGCACTCTACACGGGGTCATATCATGATCACGATGTTGATGATGATGGTGATATACGATGATGATGATCATGATGATAATTATGCGGATGATGGTTGTTAGCCAGGACTCCCAAGTGCGCCAGCTGGAGGCTGTCGGGGTCGGTCTCAGAGTCTGTGCAGGGGCATTGCCTACAAGTGTCAACGGGTTCGAGGCGTGTTGGTATCCCGACACACATGTGGAGTACATTCAAGCACTCATTGAGTTGGGAACTTGCGTGACAGCCAGAACTGTGGTATGACTGAAGGCTCAAGGTGCACCCCTCAGCTGAGTTAGCCGCAGTCAAAAAGACGCGGTGGTAAACCGAGCCACCAGTGTTGAACAAATCCAAACATTGTAGCAACCTGCCGGCGCGTCTGGGGGTAAGGGTTGTTGTAGATGTCGTCCCACGCAGGGGTCTTTGTGCAGCAGCCTCCCGATAAAAAAAGTATTCCCCAGCCCTATAGCCTAGAAACCAGAGGAGCATAAACCGCACACCCTAAGCTTAAAACCTAAGCCCCAGAAAGTCGATTAACCTTAAATCGGTAAAATTTGACACTCACCTTCTTGCTCAGACTCTGCAGAAGCGCTTGGATTACGAATGGAGTGCTGAGCGAGAGGCGGCCCTCGCTTTTTCGGGGGTTGCGCTCTAGGATTCAGGGGTTTAGGATTCAGGATTCAGGTTTTGATATTTCGGTGTTTGAAGGTTGAGTTCCACTCTAAATCTTATCATAGGGGCCCAGAAGCACATAAGCAAAACTTGGGGTAGGGATATCCCATGTAAACCCCCTCATAATGAAGCCGAATACGATAAGGGGATTCTTGTAAAATGCTTATGCCTATGTCCTTTCAAGGCCCCTATGTTGGGGTTTCAGTGAGCTTTGGCGGTCTGGAAGACGGTGGCGGGCAGCGCAGTAAGTTGGCGCTCCCAAACAAGTGAGGACAGTAGGTGCAACGACATACGCCAGACTATAGAGTCGGAGAACTCGGAGGGATCGCAGCTCCAAGAGCTCCCTTACGGGGCGGAAGTCGCGGAGCTGGTCCAGTTGCAGAAAGCGTTCGGACGAGGTCCACGAGTCTGAGGGTGCGGGGAGGAAGGGCTCATGTGACTTGCCACGACAACTTACAAACATCCTGTAACGTCCTCGCATGTCGCAGAAAGAGTTGTATTCAACTCCACATCCCTAAATCCTAAAACCCAACATCCGAAATCCCAAGCCCGAAAATCCAAAAACCATGAAACAAACATCCGAAGCCTTAAGCCGCGAAAACCGTCAACCTCAACCCTGGATATCCCGGAAGGAGATGGCCCGCAGCCGCGATGCGGCGGAGGCGCAAGCCGAGTCAATGCAGAGGCTCTGCCATGGGTTTCTGAAACTAGGGAACCGATTGTGTAGGAGTAAGCCAAAAAATGAAGCTATAGAGGTGATGTTTCTTAATTTAGGGGTACCTTAACTTGATTCTACCACTTTGGCTCGATATTGGGATGCCCTGTTTTTTGAAAGCCTCATATGCAAGAAAGACAGGCTCCCGAGTGCGAGGGTTTCGCTTAGGGGCTGTTGGCTGAAATCCTGAGGAAGGGGCTTTCATTCAGATCCTAGTGGGGGCCTACGGGCATTCAGAGTCTGCTACGATTGGCGTCATAGGGTTCCGGGTCTCAATTTCGGGTCAATCCTAAACCCTAAACCCTAATCCCTAAACCCGAAGCGGTCAGATCGAAACTCCTCAGCCACCTGGGAGTGAAGCGGTGTGTGCAGAGGGACTTTTAGGGGGTTGGGGTCTAGGGTTTACAGCCGAGGGTTTGGAGTTTCGAAGGTAAGGTGCAGGGTCTCTTTGGATCCAACTGTGATACCAAGAGATGCAGAATCCAACTACCCCAGCATCCCAAGTCGAACCATCAACCCTAAACCCTATCCCTGAACCATCAACCCTGAACCCTAAACCCTAAACCCTAATCCCTGAACCCTCAAACCTAATCCCTGAACCATAAGACCCTAATCCCTGAACCATCCACCCTGAACCCTAGTTACTTGCCATCCTGCAGGTCTCTCGACGAAGCACTGGAGAAAGGTGAGGAGCTGGAGAAGAAGTGTGGGGCGCCGGAGTCAAGTCAGACTATGCCTGGTCCTAATTTTTATTTTGGGGCGGTAAGGCCCTGGAGTTCGTCCGGCGTGATGTTTTCCCATGCCCTCACGCCTCACGACTGCTTCAACTTGGCTTCGCATGTTCCGCACCCTTTCAGCCGCTGAGTTTCGCTCTTTGCCCTTTTGTGCTCGTTTTGCTCGTCTCCTTGAAGCCCTAAACCCTAAACCCGTCTCCTTGAAGGTCGCATCGGGTGCTTTTATCTTTGTCTGCTGTCGGAATTGCAGTTCTTAGGGTTCCCCAAATCATATAATATCTAGGTTCCTGAGTACTACGCTTTTGCCCTTTCTATTGTATTGTTCCCTTAGTACTGAATAACAGGAAAAAGGGTACCCTTATTAACAAGGGGTCACTCAGGAACCTAGATATGGAAAGTATAGCAGCATAATTGCCGGAAAGAGCAGATGACCACGGCCCCTTTGTTCCACGCCACCGCGGTAAGGTCTTGACCGAGCAGAGAAGCTGGAGCAGATGAGGCGGCGGCCATGAAAATAATTTCCCAATTAGGGTTTAGGGTTTAGGGTTTTAGGATTTATCAGGGTTTAAACAGAAGGGGTGTATAGGATGCCCTTGCGAATTAGAGTTTCTTCGGTCCCACGGTCAAGCCATACTCACCATACCCGTCAAATCCGGCATCAGGAAGATCATGGATGAGCAAGAGCTTCGCGCTCAGCCCCAACGAGGCATTCTTTCGCAGATATGCGAAAGTAATATGGGGGTTCTTTCGAAGATGTAATAAGCCTCCTTTAGTATGATAGGTTTGAGATGACAATCGGTTACGGAGACTTGACCGGGCACCATGCCTTCGATTACGATAGTTTCCTTAAAAAAGGATCCTTAACTGAGGACATGCGGAGTTTCTGGGGAGTTGACTGAGCTTGAATCTTCTGGAGGTGGAACGACGACGACGACGACTACTACTACTGCTACTACTACTACTACTACTACTACGACTACTACTACTACTACTACTACTACTACTACTACCGCTACTACTACCACCGCCGCTGCTACTTCCGCTGCTACAGCTGCAGCTAGAACTACAAACTACAGCTACGACAACTACTGCTGCTACGGGCATTTTGCTTGTGGTGCTGCTGTTGGTGCTTCTCCTCCTGCTGTTGTTGTTGTTGTTGTTGCTGCTGGTGCAGTTACAGCTGCTAGCCACTCCAAAAACAACAGTTGCCAGTTATCGTGAAGCATTATATTCATTTTAAGCTCAAAAATGATCATGACCAATCTCAAACTCCAAGCCAATCTGAGGCTCGAAATGAGCCAGAAGATCGAGCGTGTGCCCTCGAGCGTCACGCGCAGCCGGCTATGCAAGCTTCTAAGGACTAAGGATGAGTTATCAGGTTTAGACTTAGGTCGTATGGCTCAGGTTGTGGATTTGCTGTTGGGGTTGATGAGTTCCGGGGGTGTAATTTTCATATTGTTGGTATAGTAGTTTTTGTGTTTTGTCTTAGTAGTCTTCGTCGTAGTAGTAGTAGTAGTAGTAGTAGTAGTGGTAGCAGTAGTAGCAGTCGTAGCAGTGGTAGCAGCAGTAGCAGTAGCAGTCCTAACCGTAGGCGTGGTTGTCCAAGTAGTACTGGTACTAGTACCTACAGTCGTTCTGCTCCTCCGCACACCCGACTGCTTCAACATGCGAGCTGTGCTAGCAGCTTCTCTTCGCGCGCGTGGAGGCGGCATGCGTGTGCACACCCTGCCGCAGCAGCTGGAGCTTCGGAAAACTGTGCCGGTGTCGCCATGCCGCGACGTCCTCGCCGGAGCTGCTCCCCGGTGCCCGCGGCGGCAGCGGCGCCGAACCCGCCGAGCATCCCGGCTGCAGTGAGCAAGCTTTTCCTCTTGTCCTGCCCGAGCGCCTCGCCCGCAAGCCCGCCGAAACCCCGGCGCAGTCGCCGCCTCCGCGGCTGCAGCGCCGACGAGCACCGCGGCTGCAGAAGGCTCGGCGAGCTCGCGCTGTCGCAGTCTGTTCTTCCATGTTGTTACAGTCCTTTGCGCGGATTGTTTACTGTGCCAGGCAGCACTGCCGAGGAGACGCGGTACACCCGTGCGGGCCCACAAGTCGTCCTGCGACGCTGCCACCCATCGTGCCTGCCCTTGCTGTTCTCGCGAGGTGCCGAGTGGAATGCCTGGTCGTCTTGGCATTCTTGGAACGACCAAGCCTGGCGCAGTGAAGGCGCGCTGACTGTGTCCCTGCTCCGCTGGCGCTCCTGTGCTTGAACCTGCCTCCGAGGTCGTTCCTGGTGGCGTAGCACGCGAGGGAATGGCCGGTGCTTTGGCATGTTGTAGTGCTGGCGCTGTCTTCGCTGGGCTGCAGCGTTCCGTGCTTGCACCTCGTTAGTTCTTTGTTCGGATGAGCGAGGGCCTGGGGTTCTGCCCCCCTGGAGGCGCTGCACTACGGCTGCGACGTCCTTTCAGACTACGACCCCGGTGCCGGCCTCCCAGGACCTCCGCGCCCTCGTCACCGAGGCGGTCAGGGCAGCCTGCGAGACTCGGCTGCGCTTTGTGCGACTCCCTTCTCGGTAGCCAACCTAGTCAAATTGAACTGTTTGTGTTTGTTCCTGATTTTTCTGTACACCCTAAACCTAGAAAATTTCGCCTTCCGGGCGCGGGGGCTGTAAACCATTCTTCGGGTTAGCTGCCACGGGGTTGGTTGGCGATGTCCTGCCGTTGATCGGCAGAGGCAAGCAGTTTGTTCGTCGAAGCCGCGACCAGGCAACCTCGACGCTTCCGGCTGCGGCTTCGCTAACCGCTCCAGCTGCTCGGGTTATAGCTCCGACTTACAGTATTCCTCAGTTGTGTCGGTCTCTGTAAAGGCTGGCTTGGTCCTGCGCGTTTCCTGGGCGTTCGCGTTTGTTCCTAGCTCACGTTGCTG